TTTCGTTTTTCGCGATTATCTCGGAAACTATGAGAGATAGAGCCTTAAAACCTATTCCATTCGATTCCTGAGGAAATTTGGGTTCCCTAGAAGCAGATGGACGGCTCAGAATTGCGTTTGTCCACTCCCTACACCCCATAGAAAATAAATTGAATTATTTTTTTTTAGCGTTTTCTTTTTTCGCGATTATCTCGGAAACTATGGGAGATAGAGCCTTAAAACCAAATTTGGGTTCCGTATAGGGAGTTGGACGGCTCAGAATTGCGTTTTTCCACTTCCTACAACCTATACAAGGTGAATTAAATTAATTTTTTTTGGCACTTTCGTTTTTCGCGATTATCTCGGAAACTATGAGAGATAGAGCCTTAAAACTTATTCCATTCGATTCCTGAGGAAATTTGGGTTCCCTATAGGCAGATGGACGGCTCAGAATTGCGTTTTTCCACTCCCTACACCCCATAGAAAATAAATTAAATTATTTTTTTTAGCGTTTTCGTTTTTCGCGATTATCTCGGAAACTATTTTCATGTTTAGAGGCCCTAGCACGCCATTTCGCGACCCGCTCTTTCATTTGCACGTAGGTGCAGAATCGACAAGATGATCAGATGCTCGAACCTGGCTTCGACCTTTCAACAATCCCCTCAAATAGGTCATGATGCCAAGGATCCTGTCATCCTCTTACCACAACAATTTTTTGTCTCCTCATACCCTCTTCACTCCACCATAATCGTGTGTCACTCCACTCGAGATTACTCCGGGTCCAAACCAGCGTGCGTTCAACTATGCAACCGAGCGCCGAGGAAACAGAAAGAAACAGCGAACTTTCACAACAATCCATTGACAAGTCGAGCGCGTCCCGCGGATCACATTGTTCTCCGGTCGAGTGGCTCTATTTTTTCCCTCTCCTCCGGTCAATTGTCTGCACATGTCCCCCTGCCCTTCTCGCGGAATAAAAATGCCTTCTCATTTTTATTCATCGAGGCGACAATACTCTATAAGGTAACGGGAAATAAACAACCGGAGGAAGGAGAAGGAGTAGAAGTGGTGGTGGTGGATAATGCAAGGCGAAAAGCCTCAGTCCTAAACATTCTTCTCACTTTCACTTCACTCATCTCGCGGGCTCAATGCCTCTGCGGATCTTTCGATTATAGTCGGCTTCATTCTCACATGATAAAATGACATTAAATTGTGTCACGTGGCTGTTCGCGATTGTCTTCACGGTTCAGGGACAAGGGGATTCAGTGAGTACTGCATAATTGAATTTAAGGAAAGTAACTTTACATTAGGGGATAGGGCTGTATTTCTTCCGACTTTATTTCTCAGTGAAAATTTTTCCCGCAAAAGTTCTCGGAAGAAAATGACTCATTTCTTCTTTTTCTCTGATGGTTTGTGTTTGAGCGATTTTTCGATTTTCTACACTGATATTTTACTTTTTTATTTTATACATTTATTCCAAACGAGATTCGTTGACTATTAGCAAATGGTAGAGTTGAACATAACCAAATGAAAATTCGTTAATTGTTAACGAATGGTTCCCTTGAAAAGTGAAAATCCTGTCAGACAAGGCTCCTCAAATGTGCGTTTGTTAACTATTGACGAATGAACATTTAGTGAGATCAAATAGACCCTCGTCTCCAACCAAATACATTCGTTGTCAATAACTAATCCTTTCTATCAGTGTAATCTTCATTGCAAATTGTCTAGAATGTTATGAAACGCGAAGGAATCATGTTTTTAGTTATTAGTAGAAATGAGATTTTTTGGCGATTAATTTTTGGAAAATTCAACATAAACAAGCCGCGGCCGAGTCTTTCCGTCAGAAGGCATGGGACCGTTACCTGAAGCGTTATTTCAGTAACAAAGCGGTAAATCGCGTTCAGTCGATTTTAATTTTGAGCAATTTTTTATTAATATCTCGGAATCTAAGAGAGATAACCAAATTTCTCTCATAACCTTTTTGATAACCCGAGATTAGCTCTACAAAAAAGGTCGTGACAAAAAATTTTCTACCTCTTTTAGATTTCGAGATATTCGTAGAAAACTGGCCAATAGTCAAAATCGACTTAGCCCGGTTTACCGCTTCGCTACTGATTTTTCTTCATCCTTCATTTCTACCAATTCCATTGGGAGTAAGCTTACGAATAGACCCGCAGAAATTTTATTTTTAATTGAAAAAAAAACCTTTTTTTCAAATGTCAGTAGCGAAGTGGTAAAACGGTTCAAGTCAATTTTGAGTATTGGCCAGTTTTCAATGAATATCTCGGAATCTAAGGGAGATAGCAAAATTCTTGTTAATAACTTTTTTGTAGAGCCGATAGAGAGCTACAACAAATGTAATTACAAAAATTTCGATATCTTCCTTAGATTCGGAAATATTCCTCAAAAACGTCGACAAAAGTGGTAAACCGCTTTAGCACTTCGCTACTGATTTGATCCGCGAAACGCAATGTAAGAGCAATTTCCCGCTTGTTCTCCCCACGTGACATCATCCGAACAATTCCAGAACTCAACCCCACCTCCCCCCAGCGTGTTCTCATGCAGAGGAAGGGATACCGGGTTTTACGCCGACATCGCCTCCAACTGCGAAGTGTACCACACGTGTGACAATCACGGCAATAAGTTCACGTACTACTGCCCGAAAGAGACGAAGTTCTGCCAAGAGACTCTCGTCTGCGACCACGCGCACCTGGTGAACTGTCGAAACGCGGAGAAATTAATCTCCCAAGTTGCCCAGGGGGCCGATAAAACCGACAAAGCGGCTCTTCAGAGCTCCAGCCCTCTGTCCCGGTCCTTCAGGATCTCCCCGCAGCCCTCGGTGTTCCTCGAGGCGCCCGCAGAGGACTCGAACAAGTCGACAACGTTCACGATGAGCGCAACCGTTTTCCTCCGAAATTCAAGTGCCAAGAAGAACGACAAAAATCGAAACAGTGTTTCTTCGACTAGCGAACGGTCCAGTGGGATTCAGTTCAAATCCAGGGACGCGAACGAGTTTCCTCGCGAAGAAAAGCCCAGAACTCTGAGGTTCGAGGGGTCGCAGGGGGGCAAGACGAGCACGTCGAAGCCGTTTTTCTCGCAAAGGGGTAATTATCCTCAAGGTGAGACTCCGAGGTCCATTCATAATGCGGCGGAGGGAGTTCATCGCACTGCGATCGGGCCGACTACGAGTACAGCAAGAACTACAACGGCCGGGACTGAGTTTCCCATTCCTGCTTTTAATATTGAAACGTCTGGCTACAGTGGCAATGAGGAGGACCCGTACTACCCGAAACGCACCACTAGTACGGAAATTTATTATACACTGGAGAGGGAACGAGTTGTCAAGCCTCTTGCGTTTTTGTCGACGGAGAGGCCGTTCGCGAACAGCGTGAATATTAAAATTCCAGATGTTCTGCCGGATTTGAATAGCATTGACGATCTTGTTGATAGGAGGAAGATTCTGTATATTCCGAGAACGAAAGGACTTTAATTTAGAGGGGTTTTGTTATAGTGCATTGGGGGTGTGAAGGTGTTAATGACGGCATTATTAATTGAAAATGTGTAAAACGTGACGTTGGAATTCTGGGGAATTTTTATTGGGACTCTATAAGGTTTTAGTAGATTTTTATGAGAGTTCTGTTTAAATTGTGCAATTTTAGCGTGCGATTTGTTAATGGATATTAAAAATTGACTTCTATTTTTCTTTGTGAATTATCTTCTTCAGATTTTTTCTATAGAATTTTCTGAGCTTTGCCCACTGTATTTTTTCCAAATTATAAAAATTCTAGAAAATGGAAACGAAAATTTGTTTTCAAAAATCTTTATAGAGGGAATTTTAACAGAATAAGATTTATAGAACAATTAACGTCTGTTGTCGATTGGAGGAAGATTCTGTGTATTCCAAGAACAAAAGGACTTTAATTTAGAGGGGTTTTGTTACAGTGCATTGGGGATGTGAAGGCGAGAAACAGAGATCTTTCTCGTTAATGACTGTATTGTTAATGTCAAACGTGTAAAACGATGCCGTTAAAATTCTGGGTAATTTTTATTGGGACTCTATAAGGTTTTAGTAGATTTTTATGAGAGTTTTGTTTAAGTTGTGCAACTTTAGCGGGCGATTTGTTAATGGATATTAAAAATTGATTTCTATTTTTCTGTGTGAATTATCTTCTGCAGATTTTTTCTGTAGAATTTTCTGAGCTTCGTCCACTGTATTTTTTCCAAATTATAAAAATTCTAGAAAATAAACACGAAAATTTGTTTTCAAAAATTTTTATAGAGGGATTTTTAACAGAATAAGATTTATAGAACAATTAACGTCTGTTGTCGATTGGAGAAAGATTCTGTCTATTCCAAAAATAAAAGAGTTTTAATTTAGAGTGTTTTAATTAGAGTGACTAATAATTTTCAGGAATGCGACATTAAATCTGCTTTAGGGAGGAGAAAATCATGGAATCAAAAATTGTTGAGCAGCTGAAAATAGAGAATTCCCTAAGTTACTTGACGTTTTTGATAAAGGTATGAATATTTAGTACCAAATACAGAAAATTTTCAATTAATAAAAATATAAAGAGAAAAAATCTTATAACACATTTACCTAAATTTCACTCATTTCCATTAAATTTCATAGAATAATCGAATTGAAATAGGCACTGTCCGTTGATTTCTTTATCAAATTGTGAATTTTCAATCACAAAATTCCTTGAAATTTCAGTGGAACCGGCACTTGATAAAAATTTCTAAGGTGTATCGGACATTTTAGCCACAAATTTTTTTAAGTGAATCTTTAACAATGCAGTTTTTGGAAGTGATTTTTAAGGGGAATCGCTCTACTCTATTAGAAAAAAGTGTAATTTCATAAACAGTTAACTAGTAATTCCCGCAGAACTACATCGAATTTCATGTCGCCCTCCTGAATGAAGGATAAAGTGAGAATTTAGAATTCCACTTAAAATTCAAAGCAATTTTAAATTTTACAGCAGCAGAAAGACAAGAATTTCTCGAATTAACTTAAATTACTAGTCAAAACATGAATATTCATTAAGAAATTACTCTGGACCTTCAGTTGATTGAAACTTCCAGGATATATACCTCTATATTCCTCATTTCCACTGATTCTTCCATCAAATTGTGAATTTTTAATGACAAAAATTCGTGAAATTTGAATGTAACTGTCACTTGTCAAAAATTCTCAACAATGCATCGAATTCCCCTCAATCTTCCCCTGTGGAAATGCATTTCCACACATTAAAAAAATCAAACACAAATCCATAGAACTATTCCGAAGAAATTTGAAAACAATTCAGTAGTGAAGTGGTAAACGGAGATAAGTCGACTTATCTCCCAGTTGAGTTTTTGAGGAATATTTCCGAATCTAAGGGAGATACCGAAATTTTCGTAATTACATTTATTGCAGAACTTAATCGGCTCCACATAAAAGGTTATAACAAAAATTTTGTTATCTCCCTTAGATTCCGAGATATTGATTGAAAACTGGTCAATAATCAAAATTGACTTATCTCCTTTTACCACTTTGCTACTGAATTCCGTCATAACAACAAGAAATTCAAGCATGCAATACGAGATTGAAACTTCAAGGATATATACCTCGATATTCCTCATTTCCATTGCTTCTCCCACCACATTGTGAATTTTTAATGACAAAATTCCTTAAAATTTCCGTGGAACTGTCACTTGTCAAAAACTGTCAATTACGTATCGAATTTCCCCCAACTAATGCATTTCCACACATTAAAAAAATCAAAGACACATCCATAAAACTCCTCAAAAGAAATTCGAAAACAATTCCGTCAAAAGAATAAGAAATTCAAGCGTGCAATATGACAGACAAGAAGAATACCTGAAGTAAGAGTAAATTATAAGCTTTCATGGCGACTGTACGATGCAAGTGTCTCTCGAAATTTCTCACAACTGGGGGATTCCCCGGAAGGGAGAGCGGGGAACATTGACGTAACGGTAATAAAAAATCATGTGAAAAAATAATCTGACTTCGGATGAATGACCGAGACAAGTTCTCTGGTTTCACAGCGCAAACTAAGGGGGTCAATGGTTTTTTGCAGTTTTATTTTCATGGGTATTTGCTAGCTGGGAAAGTTATTGTCGACGAGTCTGATATGTGTCCATTCGTGGCAACTGCGTATAAGGTGAGAACCGTTGGTTTTGTCATGTCAACGGAAGTTAGAATTGCCTGGGTTCTCGTTGGCGATCCAACTCGGGACGTTACGATCCTGAAAAATTTGGTATCAGTATTCATCTTAGGTTAATTTATTTGAATCTCAGTTTCAAAATGTTCAAATGTACAGCTTCACGAAGAGAAAAATAGCAGTTATCAAACAAGTCTTAGTTGGGACAATAAAATCGTTTGTTAAAAATTATCAGAAAGGATTTTTTTTGTGCCAAACATCAGACATGACAAAATTCAATAGAAAACCCAGCGAATTCACTAGAAAATTCTATTGGATATTTAATACGAAAAAGTCAATAGATTTCGAATTTCTGTTTGAATTTGTCTCTTAGATTTTTTCTATCAGAATTATTGGGCACAAATTTTCCACGTTTTTCCCACTGGATTTTTTGTTTTGCATTGCAGAATCTGAGTGGAAAAGAATTAAGAATAGAGGCCAATTGTATAGGAATTTTCAACAGAAAATATTCTATAGAATCAGTCAAAAATTGATAGAAAATTCCATAGAAATCCAATAGATATCCAGCGAAATCGCTTGGTTTTTCTATTAAATTTTTTTCCTGTGTCTTGAGGGTGCCAGAAACTGGGTCACTGGCAATACCCGATGTATTGACGGTAGATCAAAAAGATAGACTCGCAGTAATAAAACGTTTCATTACCCATTGACTGTAATTTCAAATCCTCGAAGTTTGCACAGTGATTCAGGCGGATCCCAGGCAACGAATAATGAGTTGAGTATCGATCTGACAACTCGGAAATTCGTTGGCTTCGGTACTGCATCATCCTCGACATAAGTTCGCCTCTGAGACAAATCCTGTTACCAAACATAATCCAAGTTATCTCGAATTTCGTTATTCATCGCCGGTGAGATTTCGTCATGGAATTGAACTAACCGGAAGCGATGTGCTCCTGAGATAATCGCACAGCATAGACCGATCGAAGTCAATAGCAATGCGTGGCAAACAAGGCGCACCTAAATTCTCGACGATGTGATTGACATGACCGGAATTCCTGAGCTCCTCAGCCAGAACAGCAATCATTCCGTCCTTTATGCGACACTTGGCTTGCAGCATTTCGAGTGCTGACATCAGTCCTAAATTTTCGAGATGCAAGTTAAAACGACTGAAACTGTTCGGGACGTATTCTGGGAAAAACCTCACGCACGAAAAATTTTTATATGAGCCCATCCGCAAAAAGTGTCGCGGGTTTTGGGCCTCCAAATTTCGATTTTGAACTTTCGTTTCTATTTTGTTGACCACACTGAAATGAGCGAACTGTGAAATTTTGGTTTCTGTTTACAATTACGCCTCTACTGAATTATTTTTCGAAATTGTGAGTGGGAGTCCGCTAATGAGTTTAAATCTCTTTGAATCATGTCATATGTTATTATGGACGTTCACGTAAATGTACGGGACTTCCCATTCGGCACCTCCCTTCGTAAGGCAAAATTACTATTTATTACATTAAGGTATACAATTCAGTAGCGAAGTGGTAAAACGGTGCAAGTTAATTTTGATTGTTGGCCAGTTTTCAATGACTATCTCGGAATCTAAGGGAGATAGCTAAATTTTGGTTAGAAACTTTTTTGTAGAGCCGGTTAAGAGCTACAACAAATGTAATTACGAAAATTTCGCTATCTTCCTTAGATTCGGAAATATTCCTCAAAAAGTGAACTGAGAGATAAGTCGACGTAAACCGTTTTAACACTTCGCTGCTGAATTAAATTCAGAACGGCGGTCAGGCGTATATATTTGGCTCTATCATGAATACCAAAAAGGCTCACACTATGAAAATTTGAAGATGGTGTATGAATTGCAAAATTAAATATGAAAATAAATTAATAGGAGATCATAATATTTGTGGTCGCGGTTGTAAACTAAAACCGAAAATTTCAATAATTCCTGCGGAAAAATCGAATTCTATTGGTTTTTCCTTAGAAATATTTTTAATTGAACATTTCTCTTGACAAAAACGCAAATGCGCTGCAGAATTCATTTGCGAAGCGGTAAAACTGCTCAAGCCGATTTTAGAGGTTGGCCAGTTTACAATGAATACCTCGAAATCTAGAGGAGATAGCAAAATTTTTGTCATATCTTTTTTTGTAGCCCTCAATTCGCCCTACAGAAAAGGTTATTATGAAAATTTCGGTATGTCCCTTAGATTCGGAGATATTCCTCGAAAACTCAGCTGAGATTTAAATCGACTTGAACCGTTTTACCGCTTTGTTATTGAATTCGTCAATAGAATCAGCCAAAAACTAATAGAACTTTTTAGCGAATGCTTTTAGTTTCTCTATTAAAGTTTTTCGTACGTGATTTATTCAGTTATCTAACCAGTATCACTCGGCACGAAGGAAACCTTGGATGATTGCTCCGGGTTATGGATCGGCTCGTCATTGAGTTCATTACCGCAGACACAGCAGGGCCTAGTTCATTAATAATAGTACAGTAGAAATAATTCCTAGTAATTTGTTCCATTATTCGAGAGAGTCTTGAGGTTCAATCGATCATTACCCACGAACATTGATGTTACGTGAAGAGGATTGCATAATGAGAAAGAAAATGAGAATTAATAAATATGATTGATTGATCCGCTCTCGCGGGCAGTTTTAGCCCACGACATAACGTACAGAGAGAAAAAGTTTCTTGCTTCCAGAATTGAATTAGCTATTTTGAGAATCTCAGTATTTTTCAATGTATTCCTTTTGCCAAGGAATTATTTTCTTGGGAGAAGAATTTAATTCTTTTAGAAATCGTCATTCCCAGATGGTCCAAATCCATTAAAAAATATTTTAATGATGCTGAATTACGCGATGATTATGCTACATATGACGTTGCATGAACTCCATTGACAATTATTAGCCTTTAAAATTATTGAAAATTATTTGAGTGAGAAAATCTCAAATTTAAAACAATAAATTAGCAATATGCTTCCGAATAGTTATTTTGCACATCGGTGCAAACTATTGCGCATCATTTCCATCTATCATGCATAATTTATCATTTATTTCATTTTATTAAATTGCATAGGATTTCTTTTTAACTAATTTTGTCGGATTTTCAACTCAGTCGAATGTTATCATCATCGTTATTCTTATTATCTCTTTCTTCTATACAACCGACTGTCTTTTTTACGGTTCTATCACTCCCCTCAGCCCTTCGATAAAATGTTAATAGAAAAATTTTATTTATGCATACTTGAATGAATTTGAAGCATCACGTTTGAAGAAACCATCAAAAAGTTCACTTTCAGGGAAATTCATGAAAAATTCGAAATTTTCAACAATCATCATAAAAATCAAATCAACCAATATAGCTATCGTAATCATCTTTTAACTTCGACTTGATGGCATTAAAAAAAACATTTTAAGCGATGATTGAATTCATTTGAAGCATGATATTCAAAGATATCCCCGGAATTCTGAGTTTCAAAAAATCCAAAATTTTTGCAAATTCTCAAATAAATCAAAATAACGATTGTTGCTATCGGCTTCATCTTCGAACTCGGTCAAAAGGACATCCAAGCAACTGTTTAAGCCATCATTCAATCAATTCAGAAATTTTTTTTAGCTACCGTGGGACAACCGATTTTCGTAAAAAATAGAAAATTAAAAAACTAATCGATGAATTAAATTTTCATTAATGGCGATAGATGGGGCTCAATAATACCTACATTTAAAAACATCATTCAATCAATTCAGAACATTTTTTTTAGCTACCGTGGGACAACCGATTTTCGTAAAAATTCGAAAATTGAAAAAACTAATCGATGAATTAAATTTTAATTAATGGCGAGGAATAGGGCTCAATAATACCTACATTTGAAAACATCATTCAATCAATTCAGAAAATTTTTTTAGCTACCGTGGGACAACCGATTTTCGTAAAAATTCGAAAATTGAAAAAACTAATCGATGAATTAAATTTTAATTAATGGCGATGGATAGGGCTCAATAATACCTACATTTGAAAACAAAGATTTGAAGAGTTTGAAACATCACATTTGAAAAAACCACCAGAAACTTCCTTTCAGGGAACTTCATGAACAATTCGAAATGTTCACCCAAAAATGTTAACCAAATTTTTTAAGCCACCATTCACTCAATTCACTCCCAAGAACGCGATTCCTTGGCAAAAGTAATTCTTTTCTCGCGCAGAGCTAATCTCCCGATCTCCCAATTCTAGTTGACCCAAATAATTTAATTACCCTCCATCTCTGACTCCCAAGTATTCCCCAGCATCATCGACAATTTCAATAATGGTTCCACATCCACAAGGACAGACTTTGAACTCCCCTTGCTGGAAATACCCGCACCCACACGGACAAGTAGCTCCACTTTCTCCCTCCTCCACTCCCTCTCGCCTAGGACTAGGTTCCAATGGATATTTGGGTGGCGCAGACTGAAGTAGGCACATTTATCTTCGCATATCGTCAATAATTTATCGTCAAAATTTAAACTCACCAGGAGGTGATCAGCGGACACTTTAATCTGAATCTCAAAGGACTCGTCATTTGCCGCAGTCTCCTCACTCTGACCTCTGATCCTGGCGATTGATGTGTCCGTCTCTTCATGAAATCCTTTCTCTTTCAAAGGCTGAAATACAGATGAACGAGTCGACGAATATTATTTACATCCACCAACACATGCATCACTGATTTCATTCACCTCAGGGTCACACATGTGCGATATTTTTTTACTGACAGATGGAATGTACCAGGTCTTATCGCATTGACATTTATCACCGCATGGATTGCAAATCCATTTGCCTTGGGGACTAACGACATCTGGGCCCCACTGATTGCAGTCGCAGGAGAGTCCTGGCTATGAAATATCGATATTTTTTTTGAGTTTCGAAGTTGTCAGGGGATTAATAGGCTTTCCAGGGCTGCAGCAAACACTCTGCAATGATAAAATTGTGATAATTTATCCATTGAATGAATAGGGGAGGGTCAGATGAAACGGACTTCAGAAGAAATCGATCAATTGCAGTCGATCTAAGTTCGTCATGAACTGAAACAATTCAAGTCGACTTAATTCTTAGCTGAGATTTTGGGAAATATCTGCGAAGCTAAGGGAGATATCGAAATTTTTGTCATGACCTTTTTTGTAGAGCGAGTTGAGAGCTACAAAAAAGGTCATGTAAAAAATTTTGCTATCTGCCTTGGATTCGGGGATATTCATAAAAAACTGGCCAATAGTCATCGGGAATTGAATGAACTGTTGACATTTAAATAAATCAGAAGTGTTTTTTGCCCCATTAGCACGTAAAAAAATCTACAGGGTTACATTTCCCCTGGAAAGCCAAAATTAATACGTTCAAACGAGGGAAACTCACTTCACTGAGCGCTAGAGACTGACCCGGCTCCGCCAGATTCTTCAACGTTATCGCGGTTTCCTCAATCGGTTTGACTAGCTCTTGAAGCCCCAGGGTCTGATAATTAATTGGAACAATTTTTTTTTCATTTACTGAGGAATTCTTAGGAATACTCAAAAAAAATTACTTCTCACCAGTACAAACCGGTACGTGGGGGAAGTTCACTTTTGAAAAGTTCTAAAAATACGCGTCTCAAGTACATTTTGTGTCCTTGGGTAAAGTACCACATCTGCCGATCGAGTAGAAATGGTACTGGGAGGAAGTAGTATCACTACTTACTGCCAGTACTTTTAGTACTTTTCACAAGTACCAAAGGTTCTAGTGAAAAGTAATTTTTCTACTTTTCTCAAGTACTTTTAGGACTTAATTTCAGTACTTCCAATTGATGACTTGATTGAAAAAAGTCAATATTATTGCCGGATAGAATGGCCTTTCTCACGCATTTCTGTGAATAGAAATGTTCAGCAGAAGATATTTTGTAGGAATTTTTATAGATGCTTTCAAGAATTATTGGTATGCTTTCCAACCTAAAAAATTTCAATTTTGTTGAGATTTTTGTTTTATGTTGTTATCAACATTTAAAAGGCTTCGAAAAATTATTTTCAATTTCTTTTCAATTTTGCTACTCACAAAACGGAAATTATTTGGATTTTTGAATTTTTGACGAAAATCGGTTTTTAGAAGAGGTAGAAAAACATTTTTGAGTTCTTATACTCAACTTATATTGAGTTTATTTGGTACTTTTGAAAAGAGCCAGCCAGGTACTCAGTACAAGTAATTTTTTTACTTGTCCCAAGTAACAAAATACTTGTGACAAGTACTGAGATACTTCTCACCAGTGCACAGGTACTTGACGCATGATACTTGCATCAAGTTGTTTTATAACTTCGAGGAAGTACAAAAATGTGCCTTTTCCCCAGAAACCTATTGGTACTGGGTACAAGTACTCTTGCTACTGACCAAAAGTAATTTTTTTTTGTGTATCTTTGATTTTTTTATATTCTCACTTTGGCTTTATCTAAAATACTGTCAAATTTCCGAGCCAACTCGTTCAAACTGCGATTGCGATCTGGCGGAAGAGCTTCTTCCGGTGCTCCGGGTGAGGTTGGAGGGATCTCCTCGTAACATGATGGATTTTCGCAGAAGGAACAGTGAGAAGTCGTGTCCCTCGTGGTCCCTGGATCGGCTCCAGACGATGTTTGCCCCATTTGATTGCCCCCACTACTGTAATTTTCGTTTCAATTTATTAACCACGTTTTTTGGAGTTTTGAAGTGCGAAAGAAATAAGTGAAAATTCAAAACGAAAATGACAGACCAGGCGGCGCCACCGGTCCCCCATTTCCGTTTCAAATTTCTCGTTTGGAAGTTTCTTCATTTCTCCAGTTACTAAAAATCTAAAAAATAAAATCATGTCGAATCCATTGAATAATCCCGATAAACAGAAGAGGAAGAGTTGTTGGAGTAATCTGGTGCGTCATTACGAAAAACGAAATGCTTCATTGGAGAGACGCCACGACGCTTTAGCGGAACGAGTTAGGATGATGGAGTTGGCTCTTCCCTCAGTCCTAATGGGCGTCGTGGTCAATCTAAATCCGTTAACGGATGACAAGTAACGTCTCGAATGTCCCTTAGAATAAAATCGGTAGTGAAGTGGTAAACCGAGTCAAGTCGATTTTGACTATTGGCCAGTTTTTGATGAATATCTCGGAATCTAAAAGAAATAGCAAAATTGTTGTCATGACCTTTCTTGTAGAGCCAATTGAGGACTACAAAAAAGGTCATGACAAAAATTTTACTATCTCTCTTAGATTCTGAGATATTCATAAAAAACTGACGAAAAATTCGATTTTGACTATTGGCCAGTTTTTTTATGAATATCTCGGAATCTAAAAGAGATAGCAAAATTGTTGTCATGACATTTCTTGTAGAGCCAATTGAGGACTACAAAAAGGTCATGACAAAAATTTTACTGTCTCTCTTAGATTCCGAGATAATCATAAAAAACTGACCAAAAATCGACGACCCGGTTTACCGCTTCACTACTGAAATCCCCTATTACATTTTATCTCCAATTTTCACTTAATCAAGAACCGCAAGTCGTGTCATGGAGGAGAATCCCAAGCCTTCGGTCAATGGCGAAGGATCATGTCTTCCACCTGGAAGAAATTGCAAAGGGCCTGAAAGGCGTGGGGAGTCATCGGCAGATAGTTAACATAGTCACGTCATAATTCGTAATCTCAATAAAAATAATTGAAACAGAGTAAAACTAGCTTGAAATTTTCCATAAAGAGTTTGTTTTTTAGTATTTTGAGATGTTAGCGAAACGAGTGGGAATTCGGAATGAAAATGGCAGAACAGGTGGCGCCACTGTTCCCCCAGTTCCGTTTCCAATGTCTCGTTTAGAAGTTTCCTCACTTCTCGAGTCACTAAAAATCTAAAAAATAAAATCACGTGGAATCCACTGGAGAATCTCGATAAACAGAAGAGGAAGAGTTGTTGGAGTGATCTGGTGCGTCATTACGAAAAACGAAATGCTTCATTGGAGGGACGCCCCGACGCTTTAGCGGAACGACTTCGCATGATGGAGTAGGCTCTTCCCTCAGTCCTGAAAGGTATGGGTACTCATCCACAAATAACTAACAAAGTATGTAAATACAATGAGCATGTTTTTTATTCGAATAAACATAGTCATGCAATCATTCGTAAACTCAATCAAAATACTTAAGCTAAGGTAAAACTAACTCAAATGTTTCGGCAAAAAGTTTAAACCCTAGTGAATCAAACGATAGCACAGATCTTCGGAGTAGCTGGTTATAAACTTTGACATTAACAAAAATCGACTAGAGATTACCTGAACCCTAAACCTATCTCATTCATCGAAATCGGGGTTCGATTATCATATTCACTCTTCATCGAGGGGCTATTCACAGGCGTAATCGTGGTGTCACTCGCTGATGTAATCAATTGTAATCCCAGTGAAATCAATGTAATCATTGTAATCACATGATTACCATCTTTGTAATCAAGTTTGGTAATCAAGTGGTAATCATTTGTAATCACTGTAATCATTTGTAATCAGTGTAATCTTTCGTAGTTGCTCCTAGTGAGACCGTGAATTTTGTTTTTGAATTTTCGAGCGCGTCATTTCTACCAACGGTAAGTCTCAGAGATCCCTGGGTCAACTTTTCTGGGAATCCCAGATGTTTATGGTTCAGAACCTTGCATAGCCAATGCGTTTTGCACAGAGCATTTGTCCGTAGAAAATTGATTCAACAGAGTTTAAATTTCTTCTTATTCTGAAGAACCAACGACTGAATTATCTCTGAATTATCTGCTGGTAAGTTTCATTCTCCATCAATGGTAGATATTCAGTAAATTTATTTTGCTGATAGCACTTATAAATGCCCAAATTTTTAGATGGCGTGATGGGACTGCATTCCTCTGTTCTAATCCCTGCCCCTCCTTCCTCATTTCTTTGCAGGTTCTAATAATTAATTATTCCATCAATTCATATTTAATAAGAGGCCATTTTTTGTGATTTCAATGATTACAGATGTTTGGTAATCGCAGAATGTAATCGACGAAATCATTTGCAATCATGTAATCACATTCTGTGCTCTTGGTAATCACGGTTATCAAATAGGCAATGGTAATCAGTGTAATCAGTCCTGTAATCCTGGGTAATCTATTACATTTTGTAATCGCGGTGTCACCCAATTCGCCTGTGAATAGCCCCTCGCTCTTCATTGTTATTCGCTAAACGATTGACATAGTGATGACGTACATATATAAAGTCTCAACAGGGAAATCGGAAGAAAATCAAACGTAGAATAAATGAATAGGTACACAAACACACGTTTTTTGTAAACAGTATTGTAAACGTCACTCGTCATTTTTCATTACTTTCGACATTTTCTCGTAGCGTTCGATGAGATTCAATTCGTGATATCGGTCGATCGCTAGTAGGTATGTTTGGGTAAATTGTTTGGAAGTGGTGGGTGAGCTGGGATTCTCGACGTTTCGTAAATTGGAGGAGATTTCAGGGGAGATTTGAATATTGAATGACAGTATTTAGCGTGGAAATTTGAATTTTACGATTGTTTGAAGTGTCCTCGTTCGTGCGGTAGGACGTACCGTTCCTGGTCATCACTTGGGTACCAAGCAGCGCCAGCAGTATTGTCCTGTTGAGAGAAAGACGATGACTTTTAGAGAAATACTCAGTTTTGAGGCTTTCGTGGCAGTGATTACTAAGGTGTTTCGTGTGACAAGTAAAAATAATGAAAAAAAATTGGAAAATTCAAGGGAAAAATGTGGGAGTACGGTGCACCATCGAGGATTCTTGCACATTCTTTTAGATCTCAGCCTCAAGTCTCCCATGGCACCCAAAAAAATGATGAACTATTGAAAAAAAACTAGTGCGTGATAAATCAAATATTTCTTGAGAACACGTATAAGTTTCAGGTTTTTTTCAGATTTCATAAGAAAGTTATTTGAACAAATGATTCAGAAAATTATGAGTTTCGGGACAATTACGCACTCACACGTAGGCGCGTGATTCGAATGTCAGTGAGCATCATGGGAAAGGTATGGGTTGGACCATGGAACTGAGAGAGAGAAAACACTCGAGAGGTTTACCAACTCGAGACGCATTTTAATATTATTTCAATAATTAGAAAAACATCCAATAAAAATTATTTGACACCCGTAGGTGATGAGAAAAAAATCAATCAATCTGATAAATAAAATCAATATTCAAAAAATGTTCAGATGCACACTCAAATAGTTACTTGAAAATTGGAAAAACTCATGCTCAGCGATTGAATCAGGGCTCGAGAACAATGAGACTCCCTTTCCGTCTTACCCTCCCCCCCTCCCCCCCCTCCGATGATCTACACACGAAATACCTTAATATCATTACTAAAATGAACAAAATCATGTTTTATATTCCCATATATTCTATTTTGTTCATTTCATACAATTGCATTGAACCAAAATTATTGGCCAACTCTATTCTATTTGCTATAAAACTTATTCTATTGAGATAATTTCTAAATCAAAATTTTTGTAAAAAATCCAAAGCAAAACATTTTCATTTGTCACGAAATACTTTGAAGCGGACGTGATTTACAGAAGAATTCGCATGCATCCCACGTAAATATCATGAGAATACTTCCAACTCACCTTATCGTTGTTGAGAAAGGAGCAGTTTTTTTTATCAAACGTCGGGAGTTTGTGCCGGTCACGTGAGAAGCTTGATGTAATAGCTAAACCACAGTCTCGACGATAACAGTCACCGCAACAAAAAAAAGGACAGATGTCTCATCTCCAACGAAAGTAAACAATCTGTAAAAAAAAGTTGAACCATTCAAAGACCTCTCCTCGAGAGAGCCAAGCAGAAGTGAAAAACTATGAAAGAGTTATAAATTGTAAATTAAACCACCACCTGAAGCGCAACTAGATTAACTCACAGTACACGTGATGCGTTAAACTGAATGAAAAACCGTATCTACGCCCTTACTATTTTATGATCGATGAATAATAGTAGACAAACACACAAACTACAGAAAGTCCAGTATGAGTAGTGAATTCAAAAATTAGATCGACGAGGCGCAACAATAGTCGTCGTGCTCGAGTTAAAGTACATAAAAGTGAAAAAAAACAGTTCAAACTAATTTTTTAATGCATAAAAACAAATTAATTGGGACAGCTATTCCAAATTTTTATCTCTTGTGGATAATCTCACGGACGAAAAAATTTGATAAAAAATTTAGCGAATTCAATAGAAAATTCCACAGGATTTCTATTACATTTCTATTGGAGATATAATTTTTTCTATTGGGAAATTTTCTATAGGATTTCTTTGACATGAATTTTCCAAGTTTTTTTTCACTTTTGTTTGATTTTTTTAATGAAATAAGATGAAAAATATCTCAATTCATAACAAGAAATCAAACTAAAAAAATTCGTTTGATTTTTTAAAATTTGAGGTAAGATATTTCTACAGAAAAATCCAATTCTGTTGATTTTTTCTACAGAACATTTGCTATTGATCATTTCTATTGAAAAAAAAAGTGGAAATAAGCTGTTTTCCAATAGAATCGGCCAAACATTATCAGACAGTTTAATGTGAATTCAGTAGAATTTTCTAGCGAATGTACTGGTTTCTCTATGAAAATCTTTCGTACGTGATCAGTTTAAGAACACAAAGGTGTTTAATTTCAAAATCCAACGGTTCTTCTTCGAGAACTTTTCTCACTTGAAATAATGAGGTTGTTGGTACAAAATTTTAGAAATCATTCTAGTTTAGTTTCTGAATTTTGGGGATAATTCCTTTTAGTATGGTAAAGAACAATTTTTCTTACACGAAAACTTGGAAAGTCAAAATGGGAAAAATTGGTAAAAAGTCAATATTAAAGTAACACTAAGCCACTTCACTTAAATTCTGGAAGGTTCTTAATTTAAAAATCCTTAGGTTCTTGATTTAAGAACTTCTCTGAGATTTTGGGATTTCTTTGTAAAATTTTAGAGATTCTTGTTTTTTGGGCCAATTATACCAAAATTTTTTATCGTTCAAATCATCTATATTTTAAAAATCCGAAGATTCTTTTTTTAAGACATTCTCTCACTCAAAATTATTAGCTTTTTGTCCCAGAATTTTAGGGACCATCTTCTCGCATCTTATGGATTCTTGTTCTTCATATGCATGAACATACATGAATTGAACCAATTAATAAATTTAGGAGCGCAAACGTTGTTAATTGTTAAATCCAACGGATCTCTTTTTACAACTGTCTCTCTGCTAGAATAACTAAATCAATCTAAATCAAACTAAATTACTGATCCTGAATTTTAGAAATCATTCTTGTCTAGTATTGCAACCAACAGTTTTCTCTGCACACACAATTGCAAATTAAAAATGGGAAAAATTGTGTGAAAAGCCAATAATAAAATAACACTACAGGTTCTCAATTAAAAAATCCCAAGGTTCTTGATTTAAGAACTTCTCCCCCTCAAAACTATTATCTTTTTAGTACATAAATTTCGGGATTTTATCTGGAATTTCGGGATTCTTGTTTTTATATGCATGAAAACAGATAAATTGGTACTCAGAATATCTCATCATCTACCAAAACAAATGTCATATTTGTCGGATGATAAGAGAGTTGAGCAGACTGACCTTGGGCCAGTTACGAAGCCAGCCAAGCTGCAAGAGTTCTAGCACAGCCTCATCAATCCATTTTCCTCCTTCAAGAATTTTTTTCCAGTCTCACAGTTCTCGTGGCGCATTCGAGACCTATTTTATTTCTCAATTTTTCTTCTCGATCCATCGGAATTTCTCAAGTACAAGCACTGTCTTGAGTTACGACATTTCTAATGATCAAATCACGGATTGTCAACACGCAAATCATGATATACTGACAAAATGAGTTCAGGCAGGATTCATAGATGATTACTTTTCATTTTAATAGAATTTTAGACAGTTCTTTCACTGATTGAAAATTGAAGTAAAAAAAACAGTTAAACGCAAATCTCCTGGTAGAGAACGAAACGATGACCGTTAACAACTGCCCTGATGTTTTTAACGCTACGACTACCCTTCGAGGTATTTCGCACTCTCATCACCCAGCCATCGCGTTCAATTCGGCCAATCCGCGATTTTCTAACCTTCTTATCCGTATCAGAGTCGGTTATTTTGACAAGATCATTGGCAGTTGTTGCATCAGGTTGCACGCGAATACGTGACACTGCGCGAGATGATTCAACGGCCACCTCGTCTTCTTCCCGAGCCTCGCGCGCTAACTCCGCTATTATTTGGCCTGAAGGATTTCGGATCATGTCTCCCTGCAGAGAAAATTTAATGGTTTTATTAATTTTCGTTCCACACTGAGGATTCTGCACAGAGAAACAAGTTTCTAGTTTCCAGAAAAAACTCTCAGTTATTTTTATTTGAAGCGAGTGAAATTAAGGGATATTTCATCATTTTTTGGGGAAATTGTGGGAGTGAATTTGGAACATTCGGGTTTTCAAATTAAGAACATTCACGGACTTAAATTGATGATTTTTGTTTTAAAATCAAATTCCTTATATTTGCAAAGCTGTTGTTATTCAAAGTATATCATCTGAGACTTTGAATCAATGAATGTTTGATATTTGATGATACCAGAATTCGAATAATCTTAATTTTAAAACTCGACGCTATTTGATTCAAGAACTTCTGTCGCTTGAAATAATTGGGCTGTTGGTACTGAATTTTAAGAATCATTACAGTTTAGTTTAGTGAACAGCAATTTTCTTCATAAAAATTCTTGGAAAGTCAAAGTCGAAAAACATCGCAGGCGGCTGTCTTTGATACAGCTGTAATTGTACGTGGATACGTACATGGACTTTCTTTCTCTCTCGAATTTCCTAGAAACTGTTTGCAGTTCTTCGAATTTTCTAGAAATTCCCTGAATTTTCTTGAAATTTCTACAAATTCTTGGCGTTCCTTGAATTTTCTAGAAACTCTGAACTTCCTCGAAATTTCGAGAAACTCCTTGCATTCCCTCGAATTTCTAGAAATCCCTGAATTTACTCAACATTTTTTTGAAATTCCTTGAATCCCCTTCAATTCTTTAAAAACTTCTCGAAATTACTTCGAAATTTCTAGAAACTCATTGAATTCCCTCGATATTTTCAGAAACTCCCTGAATTCTCTTTGAATTTCTACAAACTCCTTAAATTGCCTCAAATTGTTTAGAAACTCACTGAATTTCCTCGAAATTACTAGAAACTCCTTGAATTTTTTCAAAATTTTAAGAGCCTCTCCAATTTTTTCTCCAGAATTATCTAAAAATCCCATGGATGGCGCTGCACATAAGGACGGTTTCCCAAAATGACCCCTCATAATGAAACCATAAACGTATCCACGTCAAAAATTGTTAAAAGATTAACGATAAAATGACCCTTCACTCAAATCTTGAAAGTTTCTCAATTTCAAAGCGCAAAGGTTCATCATTTGAAAGCTTCTCTCATTTTGAAACGAATACCCAATTTTTTTGTGCGAAATTTTAGAAATTTTTTCCCTGAAATTGAGTTTCTCAAAATCAGTAAATCAGTTCCGGTACCAAGAAACTGTTCCTCCGTGACACAAGACTGTTTTCCCGAACACTTACGGTGTGCAAATCCTCGTTACATTCAGTCTCTTCAGTTTGCGTAGATCGATGAACTCCACTTTTAACCGAGTCCTCATCAATCTCCATTGATTCATCCGTTTGAACCCCTTCCTCAACCCCCTCCTTCCTTTCCTTCATGTCGACACCATCAAAACTCCCCTCACACACATGATTGCGGATCGTCTCCTCAAGTCCGCCGATTCTGTCGAGCATTCTCTGAGCAACAAGGACCTTCTTTTCAAGTTCCTGTTCACTTTTCCTCAGGTTTGAAGCATAGGAGAACTCAAGTTGAGTCCACGTGGCATCGACCTTCTGAAGAGTCTTGGCGAAAGCGATCTCTCTCGTTTCCAAATCCACAATTCTCCTTCGGAGTGAGCACTCAGAGGCAGCGAGTTGTTGAATTTGTTCATTATAATCCTTTCTCATCCTATTGCAGTCATTGCAATCAGCTTCTGGCCCCCTCTTCACTGATTCAGAGCATCCACTCCATTCCTTCCTCTGCGCTCTCATCGGAGAACAAATTTCCGAATCGTCAATCTCCTTCAAAGCATCGTAAAAGATTCTGCCACAAGGCGTCGACGCAGGGATATCCAAAGCTACTGTACTCGAGACGTCAGTCAATTCCTCAAAATTCTGAGGATTAATCACGCCCGCCATGGTCCCAACATCCGCCAGATTCCTCCCAGCGTCTTGAAGATTCCTCAGTTCGTTCTCCAACCAATAAACCCTCTCCGTAAGTTTATAATTTTCATCGAGCACATCCTCCTCCCTCTGCTTGGCAACTAACTGATCCTGTGATCTCGCAATCTCGTCCGCCTCATAGATCGCTAATCGTTCCTCCAGATCTTGAATGCGTTCTTTGCAAGAGGTCAACCGATCATCAGTCTCTAAACTCTCTAAAGGTACCTTGACCGCCCTCTCCTGTATTCTCTCCCGAAGTTCCTGAAGTCTCTGAACCTCTTGCAGCAGATCGCCAGAGGGGGTCTCAGTCTGTGTACCACAGGTGGCCCATTCCACCTGATCATCGTCATCCTCCTCGAAGATCCCGCTCTCCTGAAGGGACAGCGGGGGCTTCTGCACAGGTACCGGGGACAACGACTGGGTGTAAGAGTTGTAAGGTATAACAGTCGCTATCGCCCGTTGTTGCTTAGTGCTCTGGTCTTTGAAGAGTTGAATCGGCTCGGGTGATACAATGCCACTGTCAGCAGTATCAGGAGACTCTCTGGGGCCACCAGTCTCTTCCAACTCAAGCACACGAAATTCGAGTAGTTCGTTCTGCTCCCGCAGCTCTGAAATTTCAGCCTGTAAACACGACTCCCGCTCTTCCGTTTCTTTCAGCTTATCGCTGAGTACACGCCGGCTATTCTGACTTCCTCTCGTCTCCTGTAGCAGCGCCTGCTCCAGGTCGCGTACTTGGGTTTTGGCGTGGGACAACTCCTGCTGGGCCTCGAGGTACTTTGTCTGGAGCTCTTCGAATTCGAGGAGAAGTCCTTCGTACGTCTCACGAGACACGCCGGTCGACTGCCAGTGACCGCCCGGCTGCGGCGACAGCGAGGACGGGGCACTAGACAATGCGCTGTCCTCCTCTTCGTGCTCCTCTTCGTCGTCAACTTCTGCTACCGGCTCGAGCTCCAGCCATTGTTTGTAGAATTCCTCTTTCCGCTTTTTGTTTGAGAGCTGGTCCAATTTGCGCTCGCGCTCTTTCAGAGCTTGACGCAGGAATTCGATTATCTCTTGCTGCTCTATCGCTACCTCACGGAGGCGGTCCGCTTCGCTCACGTCGTAGTCAGCTTTGCATGAGTCCTGAAACATTGAGGATGTTTAACCTATCAAGTGGACAACGCAGTTATGAGAAAAAATTGAAAAGGAAATTGACTAAGGAAATCGTTCATGTTACAAATTATTTTTCTCAGACAATTAGAAGGATTATGGCTGAGGTTTCCGGTTTCAAAATAATGATTAAAGAAAATGTTCATGCAGACAGCCGTGGTAACAGTCGAATTTTGATTGGGCAACGTCGCATGAAACAGGTGAGTGGAAACAGCAGTCGACAACTTGATTAAATTTTTAGGCTTTTGATGAGTAAGAGATGTGCGTGAAATAATGCAGTATAGAATTTTATTCAATCTGTATTGGAAATCTGTTAACTTTCACGGGGAATTCTAGTCTAATTTTTCTCGATTCTTTTTGACAATTTCACAGCTCTTTTGCGCGATTTTTCGATAAATATTTCATAGAAAATTGGATAGATTTTGATTTCTTTGTATGATTTATCATTCCAAATTTTTTATTACATGGAAAATTTTACTGAGATGTTCGTGAAAAATGATTCAATTTGAAGGAAAAATTTCTGGAAGAATATTAATTTTTCCTACAGTTTGCTATAAATCCAGTAGTGCCATTTCGCGTAGGAAAAAATTACATAAAAAACCTATCGGATTGACTAAAAATTTTTATTGAAGTTTCTATTAAATGCCCAATGGAAAATATTCTATGCAGTAAAGCTGCGCAAATCTTCAAGAGAATCAGCCAAAAATGAATAGAATTGCCAACAGAAGTTCAATAGAAATCCTATAGAACTTTCCTTTCGATTTTTATAGTTATTTCTACGGATTTTTTTCGTGCGTGTTGTTATTCTTGGGGAATGATTCAACTCCAAATATAATCTGATTTAACTTCCATATGGATACATATCGATTGCGTAACAGAAGAACTTGCATCTCATCGTTTTTTCGAGAGAAAGAAACGTCATCTTTGGAAACAAAAATATTATGGGCGTATGTTATGTCATGTGACGTGAAGATAACATGGAAACTCCACTTTCATTTTTCGGCACCATCATCATAACTTCCCTATGATTCGAAAGTTACGTTCAATCAGCGAGTTATTAATGATTTGTTTTCAATCTTAAGTAGCCGTTCGGTAACGATTCAATTTCAAGAAGTCGACGCTCGATTTTATACGTATGATATATGTGTGTACCTATGTATGAATGGATGGAATTGAATCTTTTTCTTTCAAATATAGGTGTTGTTGAGCCCTATCAACCACCATTAATTAAAATTTAATTCATCGATTAGTTTTTTTGATTTTCGATTTTTTTCGAAAATCGGTTGTCCCACGATAACTAAAAAAATGTTCTGAATTGATTGAATGATGACTTAAAAAATTTGTTTGGATGTCCTTTTGACCGAGTCCGAAGATGAAGGCGATAGCGATAATCGTTATTTTGATTTATTTGAAAATTTGCAAAAATTTTCTATTTTTTGAAAATCAGAATTCCGGGGATATCTTTGAATGTCATGCTTCTAATGAATTCCATCATAGCTTAAAATGTTTGTTTCAATGCCATCAAGTCGAAGTTAAAAGATGATTACGATAGCTATATTGATTGATTTGATTTTTATGATGATTGTTGAAAATTTCGAATTTTTCATGAATTTCCCTGAAAGTGAGCTTTCTGATGGTTTCTTCAAACGTGATGTTTCAAATTCATTCAAGTATGTATGAATAAAATTTTTCTTTTAAGATTTTATCAAAGGGCTGACGCGAGAGATAGAACCGTAAAAAAGACAGTCGGTTGTATAGAAGAAAGGGATAATAAGAATAATGACGATGATAACATTCAACTGAGTTGAAAATCTGACAAAATTAGTTGACAAGAAATCTTATTCAATTTAATAAAATGAAATAAACAATGAATTATACATTATAGAAGAAGATGATGTGCATATTGCTAATTTATTAGCGAAAAAAAATTTTTTTTCTGGAGTTCCCTGAACTCAACATCTTAAACAGAATACTTACAGTAGTTCGATGTCGATTTATTTTATCCTCAATCGGAGGCCCCAACCGAATCTGGTGACCCCTTTCGCTCTCCCGTAGTTTCCTCATCTGCAACAAAAATCAAACAATAATTCTCTGAGCGCGCTAATTAATACAGACTTTGCGCAATAAGTGCAAAGAATTGGCGCAACACTTAACGAGGAAGTGATCTTTAAACGCTTATTATTTCTCTCCCCTGAAATAGCTGGAATATTCGTCGAGAAATTGCCAACAGGTTCAGACCAAATAATTTTTCAATCGGAAAATGTCACAAGTTCGATGCACACCTTTCTAAAAGTGTCAAAGGCGACAGCGAAAGTAATCGGTTGACGCTCAATATTTACAGTTGAGCTGTTGAAATTCCATATTATATTCAACGGACGTTCGCGGGAAGTTTATAGACCGGTCAGTCGTCACAGCTGATTAGTGAAAGTGGAGTTACCAATTTTCTTATAAGTTCCTATAATTAATGCATCAGTTATCGAACGTTATAATTAACGTGTCGTTATGAATTATTTATCCAGACGATTGGGAGATGTCCTCTAATAATTAACTGCTACACTGAGAGAAAACAAACATTATTTAGTGATAGTGACAGTGAATGCCAATTATATCCTTTGAGGTGGATTTAAACGCACAAAAAAATTATAAAAAAATATAGGGCTTTCACTGAGAAATTTTATTGGATTTCTGTTGAAGGTTCTATTGGTTTTTGGCCGATTCTATTGAAAAAGAAATGTTCTATGGAAAACATTCTGTAGGAGAATTCAATAGAATTCGATTTTTCTATTGGGTTGAGATATTTTTTATGAAAATTCTTCAGCTGAAATTTTCTAAGCTCTTTTGTTTGCTTGCGGAAAAAAGAGTGGAAAAACTTGGAAAAAATCGAGGAATTCCTATAGACAAAATTGTATAGAAAAAAAAACTAACAATTTTTCAATCGTTCCCTAAATATTGATTAAAAAAAAATTTTTCAACAAAAAAAATTTTTTTTTTCAAAATGTTTTATTCAACAACAGAGGATGCAATCAATCTCATGATGAAACTCGGTCCAGACGGCATTGAGAATAATATTTTAAATCACAATTGGATTCATTCAAACAATTTTTTTATAGTTATCGAATTCACTGCATTTTCACATGAAATTCTTTCGCATAAAATCTACGAAATCGATCTATGAAATTCTTTCTAGAATTTGGTTTCTCCAAACAATAAGAACATTTCATTTTTTCACGTGAAATTATACATTCACCCTGAAATATTATTGAACTGAAGAATTTTCACTTGAATAACTCGTTCGTAATATCTGAAAGTGCTACAATGAGCTGCCATAACAGTAGCGAAATGTCACAACAAATTAGAGAATCCACGGTAATGAGACTCGTTCACCATTTGTCAAAGGACTGTTCAAAAATTTCTAATAATTCACGAGAAAATGGGTGCTTCACCGCGTGACTGAAGTGCTGCTGACACGAGAAATATTGGCCTCGATGCACCACACTGAGAGAAATTTCACTGGTAATTTCAACTAGCAGGGAATTGTCAAAAAAATAATAGTTACGGTAACACTAACCATTGCAGTTTCAACTATTACATTAAAGTGAAAATTACCTCATAATGTGGATGACACTATTTGACATAGTGAATCGAACGATGAATCCTAGTTCAATCTACAAAGCTTATTGTTACAGTAAATATAATTTCTTTGACAATTCCCTTGTTGTTAAAATTACCATTGAAATTTCTCTCAGTGCAGTGGACCAGTGAAAAGCACGAATGATTATTTTTCTTCTCATTCATCTCGTGCTTTCACAAGATAGAAACTGCCCCAATTATCATCCACCGGCGAGCCCTTCTTTCACCTTTTTTTCTCGGTCTGTCGTTGGTGGAATTTTTCTACTCGTATAACTTTTTCATTTGCGCACGGCGAAAAACTAGACCGCTTACTCAACTCACGTAAGATACTTGATAAATAAATCATCACTTGAACTTTCTATCACTCAACGTGTGAGCGTAATCGAAACAGGAAAAATGTGCATTTGAAATTTCTCGAGCATAACGCAGTTAATTGGCGAAGAGTGCATGGAGAAAACGTGCACCTTGTGGACCACTTAGCGAGAGGAAGTACGAGAATTTCGGAAGTGTTGAAGCGTAATAACAGATTCAAGAGGAAATCCGAGGGCATTGACGGGGGAATTATATCCTTGCACTGATAGGAAAAATTATTTTTATTGAGATGTTTCTTACGGTGCATACCAGTTACTTCGTCTTGAGATACGTTTACTTGAATAAAATAAAATAGTCCTTGGCGCCGAGTCACATGTATTCACCACAAAAATGAAAAAGTTCTATTTTTTTAATCTCATATAATCTCCAGTCGAGAAATTTTCTACTTTCATGAATAGATAAAAAATTCGTTTCTGGGAGATGATTACATTGAGGAATGAATTGAATGTTGTTTTCGCGAATGAAGCCGATGTTTAAATGGAGCTTTCCGTACATCACATTGAACGAAATTTGTGATATCCAAGTTTGTGTTGAATTGCCGTAATCTGTGATTCTGTTATTGTAAACTAATGCGATTTTTTTAGTCAAGAAATATAAACTTCTTTCAACTCAACGACATCTTACTACAATCTCAAAGCTTTTTCCGCGTAACAATATTCATCCTGATTCGACATACGAAATGCTCACTTCAATTATCATTTACTTGGAACAACGTATGATCGTGTTGATTGAGATAACAACGTATTTGTCATGAGGATAATTTTGATTTTTGAGTAAACCAACGAATTTCTGGAGTTGGCAAACTTTTGGCTAGAAAGAAATCAAATACTCTCATTATTGCGACAAATAAAAGGAACTTCAGTTCTAGAGAAGTCCGATTTTTCCCAATCAAATGTATCTGAAGAAAAGATAACTGATATTCACTCTGAAATCATGTTTATTTGAAAATTAACAACCAAATGATAGTTAGTTCAAGTGAAATTCTCTTGATAAAATTAATTTTTTCTGCCAGTGTAGTCCATAGTATTTATATTTTTGCAGTGAACTTGTTGAAAATTTTTGTCAAATCATTGTTGCACAGAAATTTTAAGGCATTTCGTCATTAAAAATTCACCGCTGGATGAGAAAATTAATGGAAACTGGGAATTTCGATTCGATTATTTCCGGTCAGTTAAGAGACATCAGAATATTTTTCAAAAATATATTCTTGAATTTTCAGTGAATTGAGAATCTAGTGTTATTTAATACTGAATTTTATTATATATCTCGAGAAAAACTCCCAGCGCCACCATAATCACTTCATTATATATGGAAAATTCGATGAGAAAATGCTGATTAATTACCACTCATGCATTAGTAATCAGAGAGAACAGTTATAGGAAAATCATGCTTTTATGATATGTTATAACTCGCGCTCGTCATGAAGCAATCTTCAGAAAACGGGAATTTATAGTTACATGCCCTATTAGATAAGTTCATCTGAAATTCAAATAACATTACAATGATTTACAATGCCACATGGCATGTCCTCACGCCCATCTGTATTTCTATCATCATCTTCTATTTAATTATATTTAATTTTGAAATAGAGCTACACTTTGGAATAATTTTATTATAATATCCATATGTATCCCTAATGTTCTACACGATATAATATTTCTTTTCAACATTTTATAACAAAAAATATGACAATCAATAACAAAAAAATTTTCAACAATTTTTCGTACAAAGGAAAAAATTTACAAAAATTTATATTATTATTGTCTAGATTATTTATATGGAAATGATTTTTTTTTTTATGAATTTTGCTCATGAATTTTGCAGATTCGATTTCTTCAGATAGTTACAAATGATGCGAGGAGGGGGGGGGGGCGGGGGCGGGGAATTCATAAAAATATAATATAAGTAATGGAAATAATTGTGCCTTTAGCCAATAATGGAAACAATTATTTCATTTATTTATGTCTCGGCACCTGCGTTTTCAGCCTGACTCTCCTTTTTCTGTCGCCACCATTTATTTTTATTCTCCTAACTCGCCCTGCCACATTCGATATCTAGCCTTTCTCTTGTGACGTGGGAGAAAACCCATTTTTCCCTTCATCGAGTTGCCTTTCGACTTGAAACCTGCGGCGATAAGTTATCGGTCAGGGCTTCTGACGAGTTACCTTAGGACACTAGAAATATCTTCATTTTTTGTTTTCGTGGAGACGTTTTTCTCGAATTTTGTTCGTCGCTTTATGAAATTTCAAGAGATGCCGGTGAATTCCGGGAATTTTCATGAAATCATTTGAAAATCTGGAAATGTTTTCCTGGTGATTATCCACGCATGAAAATAAAAACAGAAATAGGGTCATATCCTTAAGGTGTTTCGTGTGAAGAGTCAAAATAATGAAAAAAAAAAATTGAAAATTCAAGGGAAAAATGTGGGAGTACGCTGCACCATTGAGAATTCTTGCACATTTTTTTAGATCTCGGTCTCAAGAAAAAAAAATGATGAAATCTGGGTGTTTTTGGAGCCCCTCCAGCTGTAACCTTCGAGGTTACCCCACTCTCAATTAGGGAAATTTCCATGGTACCCAATAAAATAATGAACTATTGAGGAAAAACTAGTGGGTCATAAATCAAATCTTTCTTGAGAACACGTGTAAGTTTCAGATTTTTTTCAGATTTCATAAGAAAATTATTTGAACAAATGATTCGGAAAATTATGAGTTTCGGAGCAATTACGCCCTCACGCGCAAGCGCGTGATTCGAATGTCAGTGAGCATCATGGGAAAGATATGGGTTGGACCATAGAACTGAGAGAGAGAAAACACTCGACAGGTTTACCAACTCGAGACGCATTTTAATATTATTTCAATAATTAGAAAAACATCCAATAAAAATTATTTAACACCCCTAGGTGATGAGAAAAAAATCAATCAATCTGATAAATAAAATCAATATTCAAAAAATGTTCGGACGCACACTTAAATATTTACTTGAAAATTGGAAAATTTCGTGCTCAGCGATTGAATCAGGGCTCGAGAACAATAAGACTCCCCTTCCGTTTCGCCCCCGCG